TGGAAGCCGAAACATCTATACATTTTAGCTCCATGAGGGGTATGAAAGCGGTGGCTTCCATGTTTTTCCCAATTTATGGAACAGGCTCCAAAGCCAAAACTTCTGCCAAATAAACACGCTTCTCAAAAGGATGAACTTCAAATTTCCAAGACTTGAGAACAATGAACTTCAAGATTGAAAGTAGACTAAGAGTTACAGAGGTTTGGCTAGAGAGTTTTTCGAGAGAAAGAGAGGTTTGCCAGAGAGAAACACAATGAGGTGAAGTGCAAGAGATTTAAGAAGACCAACAAAAAGTAGTTTCATGCTAAACTTGGGTATTTATATAGACCCTTTAGAAAGCAATAACAAATTTTGATGTCTTCCATTGGGCAAGAAAATGGTGGGTGGCATATATAAGCCATTGCATTGTGAAACAAAGTGAGCAAAAAAATAAGGAGATCTTAGCCTGACAAAACACAAAATGCCCACAATTTGCTTGGAACACCCAAGAACAATTTTAAGACATGAATCACTGCAATCATTGTCTTGCACATGGCTCTTGACACGATCAACTTATGCCTGACTTTGAATCATATCTGCTTCAAATTTCTGAGAAATTTTTTTAGAGAAAAATAACGCATTTGAAACACACATACTACAGGGGAAGTATTTGGTTAGTCGACTTACTCATGCTTGCATCTTACTTGGCTCTTAAATGATTTTGAATCTAAATGCATCTTAAGTCATTAGAAATCCATTTCCCCTTCAAGTCCATAAAATTTAAGCTCCACAAACAATGCAAAATTGAATAATCTTTGAAGAATTAAAATGGAATGTTACAGGGAAAAATAGAACAACTATATCACTTTTAAAGCTCAAAATTCCTTTTTTCTTTTTCTAGATTGATGGTTATGGTCGTGTACATGGTAGACTTGTAAAATTTCGGATGCAAGGTTCATCTCCAATATGAATTTTGAGGTGCATCACCTAAGGCCTACCCTTTACTTTAACTACCATAACAACTAAGAAGGCTGATAAATGTGCTGTAGTTTGTAGGCAACCAACTCATGAGGAGCGTGATGGCTTCGAATCCCACCTACTATTTTGGAAAGGCGTTGGGGTCGTTGTGGCAACACCCCCACATCCTAGTCACCACATTGTGGTTTACATTCACTAATATCACCCAACAAGCACCTTAAAAAAACTAACTCCTAAACTATTTGAAAAAATTGGTATGGACTTATCTTTCTAGCTAAATTACACAAAAAATAAAAATAAAAATTAAAAGGAAAACTTTTAATACCAAAAAAAAAAGAAGAGAAGATTTTAATGAAAAGCTGAAGGAATCAAAATCCTTTCTAAGGGACTTGACAAGATTGACCTCTTAAAAGAGACTACCTCACATGACAAAGCAGCTGGATTTGGAAAAGAAATGGTGCATTTATTTTTCTTTCCAAAGGATCCCCACCTTGAGTTCTTAAAAGCAAATCGGTTTATTGAGTTTGTTTTCAAATTTCAAATTTAGCAAACGAGAAATAATAAAATGAAGGTACACCAAGAATCTAATAGATTCAATAAATAGGCCCTTTTTTGTTTGTTATTATTTAACTTGAGTTAGAAATGAAACTCTAGACGTCACGGTGTGACACCCTGACACTTGTGGCATCTTGCCACTCCAACTACTCAAAGCCTGAAGACCATCCCCAATTATAGTCCATTTCCATGGGCCAAACTCTGGGAACAAGGCCACCATTCATAGTCATGAGTTATCTTAAATCTCATTTATTATGAAAATTCAGCTGATATGACCCTTCCAAGACAGTGAATTACAAAAAAAAAAAAAGCCATTGTTTTTGTGTCTAAATAATCACTCTTCTGTTGGAGCTATTTGTGAAGGTCTAAAAGAGAAATAAAAAGGAAATGGGAATATTACAAACTTCAACCTCATTTAGTGAAGAAATTGCATACAACAAGCTCGTTACCGTTCGTAAACGAAGTTACATATACCTCAAGTCATCAAATGTGAAACCGCACAATTGGGGTGCATCATTTCTCTATACGAGTCCGAAGAAAAATTTATTTAGACTTCAAGGATGGTCATAATACACCCCTAGCCACCTGATTTCAATAGTTATACTTTCCTTGATGTAAAACTGATCCTCCAAATGATAAGACAATGAAGCACAACCCTTATGATGTCGAAGTTTTGGCCACATTAACTTCTAAATAAGGGATTGGAAGAATGACCAACGCATTGAACCTTTACCAAGTTTCAATTAAAAAAGTATCCAGACAAGAAATTCATGCATCCAGATGCCAAGTTTTGGAATTCGTAAGCGCATAATTTAAGTCTATTAGCTCAATCTAAATTTTAGAAAATTATACCCATAACAGGCAATTAGTGGACACCTGATCAGTTTCAGTTGGGAGCCTAAATGGATTTTGGAATGCTGGACTTCACCAAATTTGCAAAGAAGTCAAGGTAATGGATTTTGCAAAAATTGAAAGAGAAATGAGAAGGGAAATAAGGAGGGAAAAGAAAAATTCGATGCAGAAAACTTAATTGATTCCTTGAAAAAAAGTATATCAACACATAAAGAGGAAATCCAAGTCAAAAACTTAAAACGAATATGAGAAATGAAGTCTCACAAGTAATACAAACCAAATTTATACAAATAACCAATCAAATCAAACACAGGGCATACCATTCAAAGAGTCTATGTGCCTCAATAGATGCAAAAATTACACAAAACAAGTAACACCTTCACACCGGCACACATTTCAAGAAGCTAGCTGCACAAAGGGCATGAATTACAAGGAAAAAGAAAAAGAAAAAATAAGAAAAGAGGCCAAAAGAGGCAAATATCATATGATGAGAACAATTACCACAATGATCACAATAATGAGAACAATTATCAGCAGCCAACAGCTCTGCAAATACCACAAAAACATAATGCAATTGGATCATAAGATATAAATAAAAAAATAGAATCATTCTGCTTTCTTGCCAAAAGAAAAATAATGACAATTTTTTATTTTTAAATTAAAAATAATAACGGTTTGAAACCTCAATTGCCAAATTCTCAAAACTATCAATGATCGAGAAAAGATAAAAGATACAGAACCTCCAAATGAATTTGATGGGTCGTATCCTTTCAAATTATAATATCTGTGATAGCAATGAAGATGATGTTGACTTACCCATGATGACCTCGATTTCACACTCTTGGAGGCTTTTGCAAGCTGGGTTTTAGCTTGAACAGTCACCGTGTGAGAGCTCTGAATATTTGAATCGATATCATCTATTACAGGTCCATTGCATCAGGAATGGAAGTCAAAAAAAAAAAAAAAGAGAAAAATAACGATGTATATGATGGCATATTTACCTATCATAACTCCTTGTTCGTGAACCAATACAGCCAGATCCTTGAAAATTTCATTTACTTCCCCAATTTGCTCTTGTATGTCTCTAATCCCTTGGTCTCTTTCCTCTATTATGGCCTCATTGAAGACGACCTCATTTTCTAGCAGCAATATCTCTTGCCTGGCTTGTTGAATAAAATGATAAGATACTTAAGTTAGTAACACAGATGCTATAGCCGTCGCTTACTGAGATACAGCTCCGATGTATCAAAGGAAAAGTAAAAACACAAACATAGACCAAAAAGGCCACAAAACACTACCAAAACTTTTAAAATTGAACACATCAAATCTACTAAAAAATTCATTATTATATTGCACCACAAGCCTGTGGATGCCTAGAGTCAGCAAAACACTTCATAGAAACATTAGTCCTGTATCAGTCCCGATGGTCAAGGCTCTGGTCTCCCCCTCCAACCCACCCAAACAAAAAACAAATACTGACATTTCAGAAGTAAACGTCAACCATGCAGTTATGCATCACTACTTCCCGATTCACATCCAACAACCAAACTATCCAAACAAAAATTGTGTATTATGTCTTGTTAAGATGAAGAAACTATACAAATAGCATTTACCTTTTATGTTCTCTCAGGAGGCCTTGATTTTCCTGGTTTGTGTCCAAACTCGTATTCGGATCATCAGAGCCAGAACTGTGGATACAGTTACAAATATTGTTGGAAAAGTGAGAGAAATGCAATATAATGCAATTGGTAGTTTGTAAAAGAGAACAAGAAATATAAATATTAAAGAGTCCAATATAAATAAAAAGGCTAGTTAAAAACCACAAGAGCCAAAATAATAGTATGGTTTATTGTCGCTTACCGCGAGGGCAACACAGATTTGGAAACCAAAGGAGCATAGGCAGTCTCACGTTCAGCAGCAAGCTGTTGCACTTTTTGGAAATCTTTCAAGATGGCTTGAAAATCTCTTGCAAGCTTTGCATGTTCTACTTTCTTATTTGTCTGGAAAAAAGATCAAAATCATTTAAGTTCTAAGTTTCTCAATTTACAACTACCTGTTAACATCACAGTTTTCATTAGATAACATGATCATTGCACTGACTTTTCAGCACTGAATTTATCAATGAAAAGAAAGAGCAAACCAATGTCAAATATTAGTTGTCTGAAAGACTCAATGAACGCGGCCCATCAAAATTCTCCTGACAGGAAAGAAATGCTGATTTATGCTTCCTTTGGGAAAGTGGTGGTAACGCATTCCCACCTAGTATAGGTCACATTGTGCTGGCAATCAATTGGGTATTGATTGCCATACCCCTTTTGCATTGGAGGGAACATGCGAAACACCATTAATAAGCAGCATTTTAACATTCTATTAAAGGGTACCAAGATTCGTGTAGCCGACCCCAAATAGTTTGGAAAAGGCTCTGATGATGATGATTAAAGGGGCCTACACCCTCATAATGTATAATACAAAATGAGGTGCTGCACCTAATGCACTAGCACCTATAGTGGCACTCCCGAAGGAAGCCTTAACAAAGAGGGAGAATACTACAATCCAAGTGACAATGAAAAACCATAGTCTATTGGGTCATCACTGTTCATTGAAATAATGGCCGGTGATGGCACAAATGGACACTGGTTCCCTTATAGGCATCGGATCATGCCATGGTTTTAATCAAATGTTGAATAAGAAATTAACTGTATCAGAAATTCATTATCACAAAAGTAGAGTCATTCAAGGCCCATTGGCCTATAGAGAAATGATAACATTACAAAGAAATTGAGTTTCTAAATTTCAAGAAGAGAAGATATATTGGAAGGCCCATGAATTGTACATACATCAGTTTCCAAATGGTCTACATCACTCAGTGCTTTGAGTTTAGTAGATGTCTCCTTTACCAGCTGCCCAATTCGCTGTCTAGTAGTGTGCCTACAAAAGAAGAGAAATTCATCTTAAGGTAATGCAAAAGACATTCACTAAACCTGTATTAAACTTGGGAGAAGATATCTGCCAAAATTTTGTTTGGTCCCTGGTTAAAACCAAAATTAATGCAATATACCAAACAATAGTAATGGCCATTGTAGCCTCAATAATCGATCAAAATATGGCAGAGCACTTTTTTCTCCAATTCCAACCAACTTCAGCCATTTATCCATGTTTGGAGAGAGAGAGAGAGAGAGAGAGAGAGATGCTGTTACAACCTTTCTAACAACACCCAAGCTCAGCTTACAGTTAACTTAGTTGAAGTAATTTCATTGTTTTCGTCTATTTCTTCCTGTAAGCTAGCAGGAATTTGTACAGAAGCCCCAAATGTTGTGTTAATTTCAAAGAGTGTGTCAATTAGGCGCAAGACTATAAAATCAAGAAATCCTATCATGAAACCAAAATATATTCCAATTTAAGGGATTCTATGATTGCTACTTATTTATATTTCATTTATTCGCTGCCAATTTGCTATCCATACTTCATTGTCATTACCACGATCCATTCCTCTCCAAGTATATTAAGAAAGTGTATCATATCACTTAGTTCCAATCATTTTAGGTCTTTGACTACTTTTGTTTTGGTCTACACTTTGGGTTGTTATTGTTTACTGAGAATGGTTCTTGCATACCACACAAAAGCATAGTTTTGTAGTACTAATAGCAGCAATGTGATCTGTTGTATGACATGTATCAGTCTGTGCATTTTGGCAGCATATTGACCGAGTTATCACTATTCCAGCAACATGTCATTTGTTTTTTACACTCTGCGTAGCATATTGTCCTTCGTCCTCAAAGATGCAGCTAGAATCTTGTATTGACTAAGTCATAGCATTATCGTTCATTTGCTACCCTCCCCTTGCCCCATTACTTCCAATTCCATATTCTCCCCTTCTTCCCTCGCCAACAACCTCTCCACCCTCAAGACCATTGATAGAATCTTGAAACCATGAGGCTCGTCTTGAGCTCCACCAAAGGCAAGGAGGGGAATTGGTAGAAATGGCAGAATGTTGACCTGCTAATCACAAAAACCAAAGCTCAAACAAAAAGCTGTGTTTCAATCTCTCCATCAAGGCCCTGATAAGGTAGTAGATGAAGAGCCAAAATCACAAGAATAAGAAATGCATGGCTTCGAGCAAACAGGGGTAGATTCCAACCATAGATATATAGGTGGATAACATAGATTTGAGCATCTATGACTTCTCAAAAGGAGACAAGATTTCATTGCCAGAAAACATGTGGGAAAAAGATGTAGACTCGCCACAAAAATGAGAAGCTCATTTATGACAGCTTGGTTAGCCACATTAGAGGCTCCCAAAATCTCAGATCATGGTCTTAACTTCCCATTGGTCAAATCCAACTCGAATCCATATCTGAGTTTCTCGTTGGATAGCCCAAACTTTGGTCTAAATTTGAGCTCCCCATTGCGCAGTTCAAATTTGAAAAGGAAATTCAAGTCAAGCTTCTTTGGCAAGCTCCAAAATCGACACATTTGATATCCTTGCCCAAGGTTAAACTTTTGACAAAATCCCCGAAAGTCCGAAAGGAAGTAGTTGAATAGTGATAGCATATAAGTAATATAAGATGATTTAGGTAGCATCATTGAAGTATGAAAACAATGTACCACACAGATTGTAGTAAATAAACATGACACAGGTAAAATCATTAAAGAATGAGAAGAATGCACCATAATGAGTGTAGCAAATGAATATAATGCCCGACTCAATCAATACAAGATGACACAAATAGCACCATTGAGAAAGAAGAATAGTATGCTACTCAAATTATAGAAAACAAACCGTATGCTGCACAAACAGTGAAATCTTAATCATATGCTGCCAAAATACACAGAATTTGTCACAGGTTGTGCACAGAAGCTCTAAATCTCGACAGATTTATTTTTCTCAAAAAAAAAGCATTAAAAATAGAACCATCAACAAGTAAACAACAAGCACGAAAATAAAGCAGGAAAAAAAAAGTACAAAAAGAACACCAGAATTTTATCGCCCAAAGGTTGCATCCACGAGGATGGCAAATTGAAGTCTACTATAACAATGCAAGTACATCGCAGATTTTGGGACACAACATGTATCTTATTAACCATTAATAATATCCAGTCGAACGATCCTTAAAACCACTCTCCTGACTTACATCACGTGTCTTTCTTCCTTCCCTTTACTTCGGGCATCTATTACCAAGCATACCAGATAAAAATGCATGAGCAATGAGAAACCAACTTTCTCTCTGCAAAAGGGATACCACCAAAATATTTATGGACTTCTCTACAATAAACAAACCTCGCACTCCACACGAGGCATGGACAAACTATCTCTCTCACACATCCTACATAATAGAAATCCCAATAAATATGGAAACTCATCGATATCAATATCAATATCAATACCAATACGATAATACCATATTTTCTTATGAACGTGATTTTGGATATCACCATATGCAACTCAGGTGGCACAATAGAACACACTCTTCTAGTACTTCTACAAAACCAAGATTGTAGTTAACAATCGGCATGCTCCAGTATGCTACCAAAACAAAAAGAGACAGACAGATAGACAATATACTTTCTTGATATTCTTGGAGAGGAATGGATGACCACAATGAGACTGAAGCACGGAACGCAGACCGGCAGGAGGAACTGAAATGTTACCGCCCACAGCGCATTATTGAATCTCTCATATTAGGGTACAGAAATTTTTTTTTTTTATTTTGATAAGGTTTACATATAAATGGAACTTGAGACGTAGTGCTATGAAAACCCAGCTGCTATCGCCTTGACCCAAGCCCATTTCCTAAATTAGACTAGAGTAGAGAATTAGGTAACATAACGCATAACTACACTATAAACCACATAGTTCGTAGTCTAATGGACATACTGTTTGAGAATACAACGGATGGGATTCCCCACAAATTCAGGCTAGCTTAGCTAAAAAAGTCTCATAATTTTCCAAATATAGAAAAACTTGCCAGAAATCTCCTAAAAACTAATGCAAGCTCTCTTTTAAAACTTGAGAGCTCAAAAGACAAAAAAGAAAGAAAGAAAAAAAAGATAATGATACTGAGAATAATGGAAGATCCTTGTAAAAGCAATTAAGAGGTACAAAATTTATCCAAATTAAGAATCCAAAAGTCAAAAAGAATGAATAAATAACGTATAGGGGAAAAAATGTAGATGATAGAAAGCACGGAAAAGGAAACCACCACTAAATTAGGGTAAAATAACAGAGAAAATAAATAATCATCGACTGACAAGAAATCAGAGAGAAAACCAAAAAGAACACCAAACCGCACAACTCCACCACTAATCACTCCATGAGGGGGAAAAATTGCACAGAGAAAACAAAAGCTTAAAGATCCACCATTAATGGATAGAAAATTATGGCAAGTAACACAAAGGAAGAGCAAAACTCAAAGCAACACCAGAACTCACAACTTTTGACGATGATCAGGCGTGTCTTTGGATGTTCCAAGAGCTTCCACTTGTCGTCGGAAAGTGGACACGGCCGTGTTTATCTGGAAAATTCCGGCCGCTAAGGCCTGAGACGACGAGGAGCTCTGCTGAGAACCATCTCTGCTGTGTATCGTTGATGGCCGCCTCTTCTCCAGATCCTGGAAGCTCATTTCGGGCAAGGAGACCAACCCGACGCTCCGGCTAGGTTTGCCCGACACTCCAGAGAGGTTTAGGAGACACTCCGGCCAGGCGTGCCCGGTACTCCGGCGATCGTGTCCGGACAGCCGGGAGCAAGTCCGACACGGCGGAAGAGTACGACAGCGTGGGGTTTAAAAGGGTTTATTGGGGCCATGGTGCCCCTCTCTGTAGTCACGACAGCCAAGCGTGGCCATCATTAAAAAAAAAGCAGATTAAGGGAAAATTGCATAAAACTCTCGAAGGACATCCTAAGCACTTTAACCCTAACTGAGATGTTTCTAACAATTTTTTCTCCAAAACACCTTTCTTAGCAAATAACCCCCCGAGTCAAAAAGTACTTTTTTTTTTGGCAAAAATATATTTTTATATACATAATAAATCATTTTCGGATCCCAATAAAAGAAACATCGGACCGAGTCTTACAAGTACTCTGATCGCATCCTCCATTGATGTATTTTTCGAACTGCCCCTTCCTAACGTTGGACTAGGCCAATTCCGATGACCTCAATGCCGAATTGCCCCTTCCAAACACTGGACTGCACCATTTACAGTGACTTTAGTGCCAAACGACCTTTTCCAAGCGCCAGACCAGTGAGTTGCAGTGACCTCAATATCGGACTGCCTCATGGAACTGTCGGACTGACCGCTTGAAGTGCTGGACTGTCCCTTTGAAATGTTGGACCGAGCCAATTCCAGTGACTTCAATGCCGGATTGCCCCTTCCAAAAGCCGGACTGTACCATTTACAGTGACGTCCATGCCGGACTGCCCTTTCCAAACGCCAGACCGGCGAGTTGCAGTGACCTCAGTTTTGGATTGCCTCCTAAAACTGCCGGACTGGTTGCTTGAAATGAGGGGTATTTTAGTCTAGTTTCTTTTACTTTTTGAGTTGGGGGATTATTTGTTAAGAAAGATAGTTTTGTTGGAAAATTTGTTAGAAAACGATAGGTGATGTAAAGTGCATCTACTTGGGGGGTTTTATGCAATTTTATCTCTTTTTGTTTTTCCCTCGAAATTGCATTATAATTGACGAGGCCCCATCCGTTTTCTAAAATTATTAGTGGTTTTTACCTGTTTTTTTTCAATCATTAGTAGTTATTTAATGTGTTAAGTGTTGGATTTTAACTGGGAACAAACCCATTATAAAAAAACAAACAAACAAAAAGAAAGTATTACCAATCGTTCACCTATTAAGAGGAAAATGGTCTGCCTTACCGATCCGATTTTGAACTATTAAAAGGAAAATGGTTCGATGGTTCATGTGACCATATAAATTATGGGATTAATATAATAATATTATTTATAAGGAGGTCATAATCACTCCTACTTATTAGATGTCAAATTGGATGGTTTGGGCCACTTGCAAAATCCAACAGTTTTTTTTTTAACTTTTGAGTATTTTAAGTGACACTCTTACCATCACCCAATTTGAAATCCAAGTGACAAAAATGATTATGAACTTGTAAACAAAAAATAAAGTGTATCTTTGTATATTTGTCCACAAATTATACAGCATAAAAGTTCTATTCTCCCCTTATCCAACCCTCCATTCTAAATGGAGGGCTAAGATTGCCCCAATCACAATGTCACGTCTCTATACGAGTTTATTTTTATTTTTTTTATAAACTATTTTGACACGAAATTTTTTGACATCCAATCCTCTATTAAACTTGCACTGGCGAAAAATATAAAAAAAATATTTTCAATAAAATAAAATGACCAAAATACCATTAAAAAGATTCAAGGGGTATTTTGATAATTATATTTTATCGAAAATTTATTTTTAATATTTTTTTATAGGTGTGCCCCAATTAGAATATGACACATACCAATTTCATATTCATACAATTTGTATAAAAAAACTAAAAATAAAATACTTTGAGACATCAGATCTAAAATCATACGGTGAGTGGCTCTCTTGAACAAAATTGGACGGTTGGATGATAGGGGGAGGATAGAACTTTTATGCTGTAGGAGAAGCATATAAACCTTTCCAATTTATTAAAGGATGCAGTTTCTATAGGCCCAGGGTTTATAAAAACAAATTAATGCATCACCTGGATTCCTAGTTTGGAAAGCACTTTGGGCATCAAAAATCTCCATGATGGCTCTAAAACCAATTTCTAACATCCATTGCAAAAATTGAAGCTAAAAAAATGGTACAGATCTTGCTGATCCTAGGGCAAAATGGACCATTTTGATAATTTGTTACATATTATTTATAGGGTTTGAAATCCTAATATTTTTTCACAACCATAATAGTTAAGAACGAAACGATCGATTTGAAGGTTTTCAAAACCATAATTTAAAATTTTTGGTGAGTTTTGAGGTGAGGCTTTATCTTTTTGATAGGGTTGCAGCCCTATCGAAATTTTTTTTTTATCAAAAGGACCCAGTTTCTGTGCGGCCAAGCCTGCATATGTAGAAATGCGAGCATATTAATAAATCTATTTTTGAGATGGATTTTTGGACTTAATTTTTAAGGACATATAATATCTAACAAGAAGTTCATGAATATGAAAAAATAAGTAAAATTTTAGAACTAAAAATAATAATTTTAGTAGGAAAACATTTGGACCGTTAGTTTCTATTGTTTTTTGATGAAACACATACTGGCATCAATCTTGAAGATAAAGATGGAACACCTACTTGCATCTATATTTAAGACGAAGATGAGCTTTACACTTTTTTTACCGTATATGTAGTCAACGGTTCTAGCCCGCTTGAAACAATTTTCCTTAACAAAATGCACCTCACATTTGAACTGTCTAACATTTTACACTATTTTACATTCAAAGTCAAATTTATGTAAATTTTGATGGGCATTAAGTTAAGGAAATATATACAACGAGACAATTTCCTTTTGACATAAATGTTATAATTATCATTAACTATTAGATTTGAAATCAAGTGGTTGATGATTTATCATTGTTGAAACCAATGGTTTAAAAAACGGATCGGTGACCCGGATCGGACTTCCAAAAAACCGATCCGGATCGGCGAATCGGCTATCA